AAACTTAAACTTACATAAATACACAATTTATATAAAAAATACAAATCCTATCTACCTAAAATTGGCACAAATGATTAATTCTTCTCCACTCACCATTATTTCCACATTTTCTTTGCTTCCAAATTCCAATAACACATTACCACTATCTACCAAGTCTTTCAAAAACTTAAACTAATATAAATACACAATTTATACAAAAAATACAAATCCTATCTACTTAAAATTGACACAAATCATTAACATCTCCATCATCATTAACACCTGTCTCCCTTATTAGCTCAAACAGGGAAGAAATCAGAGATTTTACTTATATATACCTTCGTCTCCAACTCTTGATAGTGAGACTTGGTCATTGTTGGATTCAACGGATAACCGTTGACCGACCTCGCGCAACGGATCCTCGTGGAGATGATGAACTCTCCCCCGGGATCGAGGTTGCCCAACTTGTCAGGGTCGCCCCAGTCCAACAGGGGGTGCACGTCCTCCGGCGTGAAGCCTTTGTGATACTCCTCGATCACAGGATTGAACAGTGGCGCGAACACGCTGTAAGCGTGCTGGTCAGGGGCGTATATACCAACGTTGGAGTCCAGGTTCTTCAGGCCCGATTGTATCACGTCCATCAAGGAGGATTCGGTGTTCGTCAAACGCGATTTGAGCATGTTGAATATCTGTCTGGTCAAGTGTTTTTTCAGCAACGACTGGCTCTCCATCTTGCTGAAATTTTCGTACGCCTCGTCGAGGGCTTTCACCCGATCGTCGAAGGGGCTCATGAAGCCTGGTTGGACCTTCCTCTCGCACGCGCACAGACGCTTGTCGCACATCTTGCTGGGTAATTGTCTGGATGTGGATTTCGATTATGGATCGATTATGACATGCTAGGATTTTTTTTTTTTGAATTGTGAATGATTGCTCGATGATCTTGATGATCTTGGGAATAAAATTAATAAATGTGAAATTTTAAAGATCTTTGTACATCTTATGAAGCCCTATATAATCAAACAAAGATTTTGATTTTATTCTTGAACTTTTGAATAGTAAATGAATGGAGCGTGCATAGAGCAACTTCTTTTTTAAATTTTAATAACACTTTTCAGAGAATGAGGTAGGAAATATTCGATGGAATTGTTGAACTTGAAAATTTGTGTGAACATTTCAATATTTCCAAAGAATTTTTTCAAACTTTCCGATATTATTTATTACATAAAATAACTGAATAAACAAACTCTTACGTTTCGATATTTCAATGCACGTGTGTTAAATAATTTGAAATACCGTTTCATCCAAAAAAAAAAAGAAAAAAAAAATATTATGATAAAAATAACACGTTTCAACATTTTCCAAAAGCCAATCGACGATCCCTGGAACGGTTGTTGTTGCACCAACTACTCACCCCCGAAAGAAAGAGAAAGAGGGAGAGAGGTCTCGAAATCGTCACATTCGCCTCTTCTTCTCGAGCCCCTGATTATTCCGTCCTCCTAACCTTTACGCCTGTGTCGTCTGGACGTCTCTCTATCGCTTTCCACCCCTTTACGCCTCTCCTTCTCCTCCCCTTCACCCGCGCGCCTCTACGCGGAGCATCCCCCGGAGCGTCGAGTTTTAATTACACATATTTTTTGCGCGAGCCGCACTCGAGCCGCACACCGGTATGCGCCAGGAGGGCCCTACACCCAGGCGACGTGAATATTCGGAATTTTGACGGACCGCTCGACGCTTCTGGCATTGCCATCTCGACGCCGAGCGACCGCGAAATCTCGTTTCCCGCTCGTCGCGAAAAACCATCCCCTCCCCCTCCGTACGAATGCCAAGTTCCTTCGAATGCGAATAATTTTCGTCGTATGTATATATATATATGTATATAATGGTGGTCGATGGATTATTTTAATTTTGAAAATTTTGGATTTTGTGTTTTTTGATTTGTAGGTTAAGTATATTTACGAGAGGAAACGAAGAGGGAGAGGAGGAGAGTATTGAGATACGATTATGTAGTTAAGTTGAGTAGAGAAGTTTGATTATGTGTTATTCGATGTGAATTATATAGGGAGTGTTAATGAAAATAATTTTCGATGAATAATTTTTGTCTCGATCGATAATCTTTAGAAATGGATTCTCCAAAGATGGGTATATTAATATATTCTAGATTGTGAAATGGTTTGATGGGATTGGGATTATGGAGAAGTAAATTGATTATTAAATATTGAAACACGTTTTAGAGAATGGATTCCAGAGAGAAGAAGGTAAAGAGGAAAGTGGAAAAATTTCGATCGAGTTTATTTATCGAGTTATGAGCAATTGAGGATGGAAATGGAGCGAGACTAGCGAACTCTGTCGTCGCCTCGCTTAATCTAACGTGAAATTAAATAATTTGATGAAATAAGTAAATCTTAAACGAGATTATTTTTGTAATAACTTTTGTGCTTTTAAACAATGGAGATCTCCAAATATTTTATATCGTGATGGAATGGTTTGAAGTTGGAAATTAAAGAAAAATTGACAGTGTGAAATTATTAGAATAAGAATTTGATTAAACGTTATTTGATACAAATTATTACATGGAGTGTTTACACTCGTGGAATAGATTTAGATAATCGATTCTATGAAAATAAACGGGAAATATAAAAATTTCGAAAGATCGAGGTTCATTCATTATGAGGTTAATTGAAATTTGCATTGGACTGTACAAGATGGTGGACGAGGATAGAGCTATTTTGTTCATTTAAATATATTCATCTCTTTATGAGATGACTTAATTGAAATATCCATATTTTATTTGTGATATTTCCGCGTGGAATTAGAATCGATTATTTATCAAATTGCACGATAAATTTAGCCATGTTAAAAACACGCGTATAATTCCATCTAAATATCGAAATTTCCATCGAAAATAAAAATTTCTAAATATATAAACATTTCGTTAAACGAAACAAATTTCATAAGGAAAATTTACAATTTTGTCCCGTATAATTTATACGTTAGAAATAAAATATGATATTTTTGAGAAAAAATATAAACAAAGCAAAAAAAAAAAAAAAAACAATTGTTATACCAAACAATTATTATACTAAATATTCGTGATAATACGTTTCCTAAATTACGTGTGTTAATAAAATTAAATATAATAATAATTTAATTGTAACATGATAAAAATAATGAAGCAACGAACAATGCGAGAAAAACAATTATTAAAAATATATTCGTAAAGACAATTATATTAGAATTAAAATTTTACACAACTTCATTAAAATGTAATAATATATGAAAACATAAAGTTAACAATGCAAAATACGTATTATGCTTAAAATTTCATATTTCGTTCCGCCCTTTCCACCTAGCACATTACATCTACGGAAGCAACTAAATTCAACCAAAGAAACAAAAGACGTTCTCGTTGGATCCACGATTAACAATAATCTTGGCGCGTTTAACGTATTTATTTTAAAAGGTATTGGTTAATGGTCGCAATTAAGGGGGAACGCACACGTGAGACGTAAATGAAAGAAGAAGAAGAAGAAAAAAAGAATAAGAAGAGAAGAAGAATAAGAAAGAAAAAGAAGGGAGAGGTATCTTCCACGTGGTTTATTTCGTGCACAGCTGGAGCATATTATATATTACGAGGTTATCATAAGTAATGCTTGCAAGTCCCTTCAGTAATAAAGCAACGCATAGAGACACGTAGACTCGCGTATTTCAAAAAAACAGTGTTGCTAGTGTTCCATTTATTACACACGGTGAGAAACAATAAGCAAGTAAATATCTTCGAGAGAGGAAATTAAATATATATAAAATTAAATTATTTCATGAAATCTAAATAAACTCGAGTATAATATATATATCCCATTATACGATTTCTTTGAATAAAATTTTTAATTATCTATGCAGACTTGGAGAGATTTTGTTGACGCAGGGAAATAATTTTAAATAATCAAACGTTTAGCAATTTTGGCATAGGTAAACAGATATTATCGAAGTATAATTAAAGATTTATTTGTACTGATTTTTAAGAAATAATTTTCTTTTTCTCAAGAAAAATAAAATTTTGAGAAAAGAAAGAAATATTTTTTCAAAATTTGTTAAAATTCTAAAAATTGAATTTTATCTGACAATTGAATTGAGAAACGAATTGTTGTTAAGAAGATTGTATGACCATTGTATGGAATAATATAACGAAAGTATTCAGAAATATTTTTTTTTCTTTTTTTCTTTTTTTTTTTTTTTTTTTTTTTTTTTTTTTTTTTTTGCTTCCATACTAACCTCGATAGCTTTTTATTTATGACGTTTCGAATGTGTTTTGAATTTCGTCCGACGAGCCGGACTTCCGACATCGCCATTCCAATCGCGAACAACCGTGAAATCCTGTTTCCGGCGTGCTATCGTTTTCACGTGTCGCGAAAATATTTAATCCTTCTCTCTCTCATTGGTCAAAACTTCTCTCGAATCTCACTCTGACAGGTGTGTTGATTATTTTTTTTATATCGATAAACGTTTACGTTTTATATTAAATAATTCGAAACATTATTTGAAAATTTCATGAAATCTAAATAAACTCGAGTTATAATATCCCATTATACGATTTCTTTGAATAAAATTTTTAAAAAGTTCTTTCCATTCAACGATCATATTTTCATATCTTTAAAAAATAATCTTAAATATATAATCTTTTTGTGACAACAACTAGAACTTTCCTAGAACTTTTCAACAAAAAAAAAACATACAGTGCAAGGAATTAAAATAACTCTATAGTTTTTTTTTTTATAATTTAGTATAATTTAATATAATTTTATAATTTTTATAATTTAATAACTCTATAGTTTTTGAACATTTTTTTTTGTTTTTAATCTTTGAAAGAATTTTCTTGCAAAATGGCAT